CCTCTTCATCTCATTTTCATCGCTTGTCTTCATAGGCGGCGTTATACCCTACAACGACTTCTACTTCACTACCGTGACAGACAATACAGACGACCGGGCAGTGTGTTCTACGTTTCCTACCAATCGTACCGCCTCTGTCGACGCAAGTTCCCTCATTGGTCGGTCTTCTGCCAATGTGCCTAACCGCCCTAACATCAAATTACTTGCTGTACTACCGAAGGCGACCGCCGGCGTCAGGGAAACCAAGGAAGAACCCGCGGAATTGAAGCCAGACGGCGATTCGTCAGTCAGATTGAACCCGAATGCTGTCAGTCCAAGGCAGTTTGTTAGTTACGCCACCAGTGAGTAACTTCGCCTGCTTTTGCTTGGCGTCTTTATTTTCGCTCATAATAACCCCGCGTCTTCTTCATTTTCCTCCCTATCCCTCACCAAATTGTCGACGCTCCTGTTTCTCCGTCTCCCCTAATTCTTGCGTTTTTTTATGATCATTCTTGTAAGACAGTTTATGGATCTCGAGAGTGGCTGTCGGTGTTAGCTGAATCCGTCGGTTCGTCAGATAATTGAACGCCTTTTTTTCGTTATGTCATTTTGAAACTTACCGTCCATTTCATCACTATTAATTAACTCCTGGACATTTTCCTGCCTCAGTATAGGGAACTTGCAGTCACACTATGGGGCTTGACTTTTTTCTTCGTTTATCTGTTCTGATTTATAGCATCGTCTACACACCCGCGCGTCTTCTTGCTCCTATTTCACTATAAAAGTATCCCTTCTCATACCTTGACGTGGTTAGAAGCGTCAACCGATTTCACCTCCTTTATTCGTTCACAGATTTAGTCAGGTCGCCCAATTCCGATCTCACCTGCCAGTTCCTCCCCCTTCGACACACGGAGGCTGATCAGATGACTCTGGAGGCCCTCTCCTTCCTCTTGTCCGCAAACAATGCCTTTGGCATCTACTCGGAATCTCCCTTTTTGCGTCCCGTTATCCTCTTGCAGCCTGTAAGGTTTGCCTCCCCAGTCAATGTCCTCTTGCACCACGCGGATCCCGAGAACATGGTCCGTACCTTGCGAGATCTGGCAGATCAGAAGGTGACTAGCCTCCCACTGCTGGCTATCCTGTCGGGTGCTAAGCCGAATGCTGCCTCTTTGGGTTTCTACACGGAATACCTGACCTACAGTTTCACCCTCACACTCGATACCAATATAAGGCGTCTTCTGATGGATCAGTCACGTCAGCAGAATGGGTGCGTTTGCGACTCGTGCTCGTTCGTTTGGCTTCTAATGGATACTGAACACTCCGCATTCCTTTTTGCTCTATGTACAATGGTTTTCCGGCTGAATAGCTACTTGGTTCTGAGCTGTTTATTGACCATGTTAAGGTTTGCATTGTTGCTTTTTTGCATCCAATTAGTCTACAAATGACATTGAAAGTCGCGGTAATGAGTGTATTCCACATGCCTTGTCTGCTTTGGAAGCTTGAGAAGTCCAGGTGATAGTAGTTCCTAGTCACTGAACAGTCCCACTAATCACTCGACGTAACTGAATAATAGGCAGAATTAATGGAAAATCAGAAGAACCACAGCCAGTCAGTTCTAAGAAGGCGGACCTGTTCGTGCAATCATTAAAAACAATCAAATAGTTTTTAAAACAGCTGGTAGAATAATTTACTTTGAAATTTTCAGTTTCGGTTAACTTAGGCTCATATTTTAGATTTTAAAGTTTTGCGACTGCGGTCATGGCCGATTATGTCGGCCTCAACGATGTCACGAGGATCCGCGGCAGCAGATCTGGACAGTTCAATCGGTGGTCTTCGCCAACGACTGAGACCGAAGATGCAGAAATCGCTTCCATGTTTTGACGAATTGCATCGAGCTTCATTTAGAATTGACCCCGTTTTCGACGACTCTAATTGGGTAACAGTGCCGGACCAAGAAGAGTCACACCAAGCTCGTTAAGTGGAAGAAGCATACCATGCAAAACCACAGTTGTCTTTCTTGGATGGCCGGTCACATTCTTTCTATGTTGTCGCAGCGAGCGCAAACTGTCTTATTTGGGACGAAGTCAGTTTACCTTTCTCGAAGGATGGTCCTCAGTCATTGGTGATAAACTACCCTCAGTTTTCGCTCATTTTCCACGTCCACATCCCAGCATTCACGAACATACAGAAAGATAGACCAGAGGAATGCACGGTACACGCGAATCTTCGTGGCTATACATGTGTTGCGTGGGATCCTTAGGCAATTTCTACCGCTAGTGAAAACGCGGTGAGCGGCATCTCTTCAATAGACAATGTCGACGGTAGATCAACCTGTCTTCTTCTTCTTCTTCTTCTTCTTCTTCTTC